ATAAACTTGGCTTTCCGGGGTCACAGATTCATACACAGGTCTCCAGGGGTCCAGGGTTCGGTGTGGGGCAGCGGAGAAGGGTGGGCACTCATGTGTGGCGAAGCAGAGCCTGCTTGCCCATTTGGGAACCATCCTAATGACTCAGAAACACTAGGCACGCGGACTCAGAGCGGTGCTTTTTCCAGGGTACCACTGACTGGCTGGGGACCTCCATGCTGCCCACCATCCCTACCCAGCTGTCTGGCAGCTCTTCCTCGAGCCGCAGATCCTGGAGAAGTCACCAGGCGGCGCCCCTCGCAGCGCTTCTGCAGGGCCTCCTTCCCAGCAGAGTACGCATGCTTGGGATTCCACCCTCCCCAGCTAGTCCAAACCGCCTATTCCCGCAGCTGCTGGCCCACCCCTCGGTCTAGGCGTCTCAGTTCAAGAGGTTTAGCAGCAAATGCCGCCTGGAATTTGACATTTTAAAAATTTTAAAAGTTTAGGGAGAGATTAATGATGGGGATCACAGGCGTCACAAGCAGGCCAGTAAGGGGGCATTCGGGAACAGAGAGGCCGAGGATCAGACTGCCTCTTGTCCTGAAGACCACATAGCGCTGTGCCCAGCTCCCGTCCGCTGCACTGGGGTTCCATCCATCCTATCCGGGTTAGTGCCCGGTCCCTCCTGCAGAGCTTCGCGTCGTCACTGCCCTCAGACTTAGCCTGTGAATCACTCCACCAGCCACGGTTCCTCAGGAGGCCTCTTTCCCAGGATGATAGATGAGTCTATGTAGAGATGTCTCCCCTTGCATCTCACTCTCATGGAGACCCCCGTGGTCTCCCGGAGCTGGAACTATGCTAGTCCTCTGAAGGTGACTGGCCCCCTCCTGCATGGGTGCAGCCAGAAAGGGCTTGGGCCTTTTCTTAGCCAAGCTGCCTCCCCCAAAGCACCTTGGTCACGATCCCAGTCTGAGAAGACCAGCACGGCATGCTTTCACCTGCAGAGGCAAGGTGAGCAGCCGACTGAGGCTAGCTTCTGTCTCTGTACCACCAACGCCTGCCTGTTACATTCTAGTTGTTCACAACATACACGGAATGAATGAACTGATGAAAGGGAAAGCTTGACTCCTTGTTACTTTGCAGCAGGGAATTTGTTGAGTGTAATAGTCCGCAACACAGAGTTTGGTGTCTGGAAGGAAAGGAGAGACTTGAGCAGGCAGTATGGGCTTAAAGCTCAGCTCTGCCACTAACTAGCTGTGAGGCTTTGAACAAGTTATATATCCTCTGTGTGTGTGTGTGTGTGTGTGTGTGTGTGTGTGTGTGTGTGTGTGTCTGTTTCTCTCTCTCTCTCTGGATAATGGGGTTATAACTGAATTTGCTTCACCAGGTTGCTGTGGGGAATAAAAAAATTAATACATATAAAATGCATAAATGACAAGGGCCAATGTTGATCATTATTACTCCTACTAATAAAACTACTGCGTGAAAAGTAATGTCAGAGAGCTAAGTGTGGGACACATCACTTTAATCCAGGCACCCAGGAAGCAGAGTAAGGCAGATCTCTGTGAGATGAAGGCCAGACTGGTCTACATAGTGAGTATCAGGCCATCTAGGGCTGTAGGGAGACCATGTCTCAAAAAGGCATAAATAAATAAATAAGTAAAGAAATAAAGTCAGTTCCTAACACCATGGTAGGTATGGGGATAGAGCAAAGGCTCTCCCCTTTCCATTCCCACCTTCTGAGGCAGGAGACAAACCCATGGGAAGAGGCAATACCAGCAGCAGAGAGACCCTGGGGGACATGAGCATTTGGCAGACAGTTCTAGATGAGGCTGGATCTGCTGAAGAAAAGCCCTATGGAGGAATGAGATGTGGACAGGCTGGGAGGTACACAGGCTAAAGGAGGAACTAAGGGGGCCACCAGGTCATTGGGCACAGAGGGACACCAAGGTCACTGCCTTGCCAGACCGGGCAGGGGCAGTGGACATAAGGGGAGATCTGTCCCTATGCTTCAGGGTTCTGACACTTCTGACTTCACTCATGCTCCCATAAGCCATCTTGGTAGGAAGGTTTCCTTCCACTCTTTGCCAAGGCTATGCAGGAAGACAGGAGTGGTAGAAAGCTGCCCCGGGCCCCTCTTAGGGCACAAGGAGTCGAAGGATCTCTGATGTTCTCACCTAACTCTTCAGCAGCATTAGGCATATTTCTGCAGAAATGGTCTCCAACGTAGAGGACATTTAGACATCATTGGCACTTCCCTCACCCAAACAGGACAACACGAGCTGGAGTCAGGCAGAGTTTCATAAAAAGTGATCAGATTGCTGAGGCACGGTCCTTGGGAGAAGCACAGGATCCCTAACTGTGGCTGCAGGATACATCCCCATCCCTTATCACTCTGAAACTCTGACTTGCAGTTCCCAGAAATCACAGACACCTCTGTCTCACACATCCTTCACCTACCCCTACTTTTACCCCCAGCCCTGCTTGTCTGCCTCGTGTATTTCTTTGCATCCTGTGGGATCCACATGTTGCCTCCTTTGGGAAGCCTTCCAACCTACCAACGGTCAAGGGAGCTCGGTCCTCCAGGCTTCCGTAGCACCTTGTCCTCCCATCAGCCTGCTCTACTGCTGAATCACAACCGTCTACGATTTGTCCTCTTCCCAGTGAGCTCCCTGAGGTCTCATTCATCTTTGCTTTTCTGGTTCTTGGCATCATGCCTGGCACAGAGTCAGCATCACTGAATGTTTGAGGAATGAGTGGAGTAGCTGGGCCGGCACCATGCATAGTAAGAGGATGAAGGGTGGAAATAGAGGAGCAGCTGAGCTGCCTCCAGACACCGCCTGCCCTGCACAGCAGGTTCACAGGGCTGGGTAGGAGATCCAGGCTCTGCCTCCTCACTAAAATAGTTAAAGCCTTGCTCCCTGTCCATCCTTCCTTTCCTCCCCACGTGAGGGTGAATCTCAGGCTTCTCTGGAGTGTGCCTGGAGGCAGGGCAGGAGAGAGACAAGGTGAGCCCATCTCAATAGCAGTGAGGCCACTTGGAGGACACAGGGTACAAAGGAGCCAGGGCAAATGCACAGCTTGTGACAAGGATCCTGGAGGCCCGGGGGAAGGAGACTGGTTCCTGGGAGCTAAAGGTCAGCTTTTGCATAAGAAGGGACACGAGTTCAAGGTTCCTCAACGTTGCTCTCTTCCCAGTTTTGTGGACTTCTGGAGCTTAAATGAGGCTGTGCACACCCTGCTTGACCAAGCTCTAGGACATGGGGTCAAAACAGAGCACTCACTGTCTAGATGGAAATACTGAAGTGCTGGGGGAGAGGAACCAGGTGCCTCCCTCCAGCACTGAGTATAAAGGCCAGAGGATCTATGACTTCTTTCTGGCCACAGGCACGTGTCCTTACTCCGGCTTTGGGGGTTAATAGTTGTGCTGTAAGGTACAGCTTTCAGATGTCCCTCAAACTGTTCCTCCATACAAGGTGGCAGTGACTTGTTAACAGTGGCACTACGAACTGCCAACTGATGGACCAATGCTAAAGGTGAGTGCTCTGTGGCCCTGATCCCCAGAATCCTGACTTCCCTACCCCAGCATCCTTTGCCAGCCCATCCTTTGAGGTTACCCAAATCACTGTCTCAACCTACAGACCATCTTGGATTTCTCTCTGTAGTCCCTCTAATCATGCCTGGTGTCTGAGAAGTGACTCTGACCCTTCTCCTCTTTAACCCCACCCACCAACTCTACTCAGACCCTGGTGTGTTATCAGGTGCCTCAACCTCATTTCTCCCACTTCATCTACTCTCCAAAACTCTACTTTTTTGCAGTCTAGCCCTGATCCTGCCACTCCCCAACTCCAAACCTTCAATCGCTCCCTATTGCTCATCAAACTCACTGCAGATACCTCAGCTTGACATTCAAAGTCCTACTTGCTGAAATAGCAGCTCTCAGCTTCCACTCCCTCTCACTATGCTGTCCCCTGTGCTCCAAGGCTCCAAGCATGTTATCCTACCTAGAGACCCTCACTTCTCCCTCTCCAGCTGCTGAGCTCTCATCCACCCTCCCAGGTCTGCACAAATGGAAGCCCCACCCCATCCCGACAATTAGCCGAACTCTCTGCCTCTTCAGGCACTCCCAGGAGCCTCACCCAGTATAAAACTCCCCAGGATCCCAGTTTTCTAACCCTTCAGTGTGCAGAGCACAGTACTGGTCACACCAAGAGAGTAAGTGATGGGGAACAAGCATTCACTCAGTCAGTCATTGTTAAGCAGTGACTGTGTGCCTGACCCCGACTAGGCATCAAGGATAAAGGGATGAAAAGGGCAGACATGGTATCAGTCTATGGGGTGCAGACAGCCCATGCTCTCTAGAGTTTCCTGAGAATCTGCTCCCTTTGTCCATCCAGAACTGGCCTGCTGGTCTGGGATTTGATAGGTCACACCAAATCAACATTGGCCTGCATGCCTCATCAACCCAGACCTGCATATCTTTAGGATGCTTCAGAGGCCATGCCTATCACCTGTTAGGGTCCACACCCTGCAGAGCTCAGTTGGCCTCCTGGATGTCCCAGGGCTGGCAGCCTGAGAGGGCAGGGGACCCTGGCTGATCCTCAAGGCAGTCAGTTGGCTGAAATGGAGAAGCAGGGGGACTCTCCAGCTACTTCCCCACTGATTCTCTGCTCTTGAGAGGAGAAGGGAGAGGGGCGTTCCCAGATGAGATACTTCATCCCTGATCTTTGTGGTCCACAGACCCCAGTGCCCCTTAGCAGGGCTGAGAGTCACATATCTACCATCATGAAGTATGGCCCTGACCTGTCACAATTGACATAGGTGGGGCATTGAAGCAGAGTTCTGGATTAGCACAGGATCATCCAGTGAGCCAGGGGACCCTAGGGAGGAGCCAGGGGTGCATTTCTCGGGGAATCTAGCCATAGTTTCTTACCAGCCAGGCCAAAAGTAGTCTTAATCATTATAAATCAGTGTCAGTGCACACAATTCCTGCAGCCTGCTATTCACCATACAGACGTATCAAATCCAGTTGAAAACCACATTTTATTGATGTTCTTCATTGACAATAGAGGGCCATGTACACAAACACTACTCAAGTCCCATGCCCGGCAACTTCCCCATAGCCACTCCTCACTGACCAGTATTTGATGAACTGGCCCCCTGAAATTCTCCCTTTCCCCCCTTTTGGGATATCAGGCCCCATGGTGCTGATCCAGGACAAGGCAGGGCTGACTTTCAAGTTTGAGTTTCAAGGTCAAGAGAGCTCTAAGGCCTGAACTGTCCAACCCTCCCCACCTTGTCTCCTCCTGCTGCTTAAGTATGGCCAGAATCAGGAGTGAGGATGACCCCAATAGCTTTTCCACTGAAGAAACCTGGGTTCCCCTTCAGCCCTCTGTGCCACATCCTTTCCCTTCAAGTGGCCTGCTCCAGTAACCACCAAGATAGCAGAACGGCTATTTGTCAAAGCGTAGGAAGCAGCTGCCCTTGATGGTGGGCATCTGGATTGCCAGTGCCTGAGGGTCAGCCCATAGCTGTTTCTTGCTAAATATAGGCAGGATGAATGAATGGATGACTGAAACAACACTGGAGGGAGAAGTGTGAGCAGAGGCCATTACTACATTAGCTCTCTGGAGGGTGCCAAAGCAGGACATGGGTAAAAAGTCTCCCAAGCTCTGTTCAAGAATTCAGGGTGTTATGGAGCAATGGCTGGGGTCACTGTAGCCACACACTAGACACTGTAGGGCATGGGCTTCAGCCTTGCTGTCTATGGATGTTGGATCAGATTTGGGACCAAGTCAGGAGAGGGTTCTTTTAGTATCGCCACTCCTTCATATGCCCCAGGGGTCTGGTCCTCTGGGTCCCAGAACACATAACAATGCCTCCATCCAGAGCTAGTCAGAAGAGCAGGGATGGACTGGCAATTGTGCCCTCATATTCTGGTCATTCCCACCTCTAGCCTTCACTCCTCCAATCTCCTCTCTTAGGACTGAGCATGACCTTCAGGCTTTTCTCTCCCCACAATGCCCCCATCTGGCCTTTACACTGTTCCTCTCTCCCTATCCTCCAATGTTAGTTCCTTCCACCACTACTAACAGTAGTCTCTTGAGAGGCTGGGGTGGGTCTGAAGAGTTTGTATTATGATTCTGAGACTCCTTTCATGCCCACTATAATCTCTATGAAGGCAAGTAACTCGCAGGTGTCTCTGCAGATCTGGTACCTGGGCCCAGCAGTGGCAAAGGAGACATTGGATCCTGGAGTGGGAAGGAATCTCTAAGCTTCCCTAGAACAAACTAGTACAAAAAAATCTCTTGCACACATGGAAGATAACTGCCTAGGTTCTGTTAAAATCCTTTCAATGGTCAGCACTCACTACCTCTCCAGGTAATGTTCAGGCACTAGACAGCTTTGGCTGCAAGAACGCCTTTTATACAACACCTTAAGCAACCCATTTTCCCGTCTCCCCCCCCCTCCAATATGCACTCTTTCTCTGTGCTCATAACAACATTCTCACCTCCACCCCCTCTTACTCTCTCTCTCTCTCTCTCTCTCTCTCTCTCTCTCTCCCCCCCCATATGATTATACAAGATTATGTAGAAACACACCTCCCTTATTACTTACAGGTAACTCCTCTTTCTCTCTTTCTTCTCCTTCCTTTCCCAACATCTAGCAAAAGTCTGGAGGCTGAAGGCCAGAGGAATACCAGGGAAAAGAAGCATCCAGCTAACTCCTGGACTTGGCTAAGGTAGCTGGGGAGGGTGGGCAGGAAACAGCATTTAGAAACACTAGGCCATTGTTTGCTGTCTCCAGGGAATGGGCGTTGAACAGGGACTGAGTGGCAGGTGCCCATGCTTTCTCCTTCCCACTACTGACTCTTTGAGGAGGGGTAAGGATGCATCCCCACCCCTTTCCATTTTCACCCCCAATTGGCAGAGCTGACTTGGCTGCAACTCACACATGGTAAGTGTACATATTTACTAGCCTTCAGGTACTGGAGAGTCTCCTACCAGCATCCAGAATGCACTCCTCACTGCCAAGGTGAGGGGAAGAGCTCCAGCAAAAGCAGTGATGATATGAGACATAAGACAGGGTGGATGGGCCAGACAGAGGAGGAAAAGGGGTTCCCCAGGGAGAAACCTGAAGCCGAGGTGTCCTAACAGCAGTCACCTGGCTGGCCCGTGAGGAGCCTGACCCAGATGGCCGTTTTCCCTCCAGGGCAGGATGCTAGTATGTCCCCTCTGGTTTGAAGACCTGGGGTGGATGTGAGGCCCTTATCAGCAGAGGTTGTGGTGGGTCACAGGTGGAGACAAGGGTGCTGTGGTCTTAAGATCAGGAGGAACTGATTCACACAGAAATGGCTGGAGTGCCTGCCTGCTACTTGTCCTGCTGCTTTGAGCTCTCGCTCCCGACATTGAACATGGGGACCAGCAGGCCCAATAGCCACCTCTTTCCGAAGACTTCCTGTAAGTTTTTACGCCAGGGCCGGGCCCTCACTGCCATTCCCTTTCGAACCTGGTGGCGGGTCTGCCCCCGGAGGATCAACAGCAGCTGGTGGCAGCAGAAGCCAGCGCAGGCCAGGCCGACGGCAAACCAGAGGTAGAGCATGAGGATGACGAACATTTCAGAACCGAGGACAGCTCCTGCGGGGGAGGGGAAACACCAGACCACTTTACACCCAGGCCACGTACACAGGAGCGCTCTTTCCGCTGTGAGGGAGGGAGGGAGAGAGGGAGATTCATGAGCAGGAAGATGCTGTTTGTAGCAATCTCAGTACTGCGGCCAGGGAGAGGATGGCTGAGCTGAGTGCCCCAACTTTTCCTTAGTGCTGATGGCTGCTGAGGGGAGAGGGGGCTACTGGGGGCCTGGGGAGAGGGAGAGAAAGTTAAAGGAGTTCAGCAAAGAGAGCCCTCAGCGTTTCTGGCACAGCTTAGACTCTGCACATTTAGAGGCAGAACCCCCCACCCGCCCCTTATCTGGATTGGAAGCAGGAAACTTTACATAGGAGGAAAGGGGTGAGTTTAGGACCCAAAAGTAGAAGCTAGCATCTGGGCAGCTGTCTAGACTGCAGCCCCATCTCACTGTGAGACTGGGAGCACTGTCTGGGAGAACTTGGGACAGTGACAGCATGATGGAGAACAGGACCTAGTCATGGGACCAAGTCACGAGCTCAGCCTTAAGGGCATATAGCACAGGCTTAGAGAATAATACAGTCATTAATATTAACAGGAGAACGGAGGCACCAGAACATTCAGCTAGAGCTGTGCTGTCAGTCAGGAGAGCATGCTAAACTAAGGCTGGAGACCCCTCCCCCTATCAGTTTAGCCCCCTACTGTGAGACAACACCTTTCTATGCCCTCTAAACCAAGCACTTCCTATGACTGCTCTTAAATGTCCACTAAGAGATCCCACATTTCCTCAGCGTTCTTTTCTCTTTTTTTGGTGGGGAGGGAGAAGGATTGGTCTATGTTAGGTTTGAATCTCCCAGCTGTGTGGACTTGCACAGGTTTCTTAACCTCTCTGAGTTGCATGTTGCTTATCTGCAAAATGGCTATAACAATGTTTCATAGGCTTGCAAGATTCCAGGAAATGATGTTTGGTGTGGTCAGCATTGTAGTTCATACTCAGTGTTGAAGGTCAACGTCTCAGATTATGAGACTATATCTCTTCCTCCAGCACCTCTTTGCCCCAATCTACCTCTTCCCAGGCTCCAATTTCCAGACCTCTGAGAAATGGGCTTTTAACACCTGTCAGTCTGAGCAGTGGTGAACTCAGCAGCCAGGATGGATGTGGATCTGTTGCAGGTTTGCTCATTATCAGCCTCTTTCCTCAGCCCTTGGAGATTTGATAGCAAGATTTTTTTTTTTTTTTTTCTTTTTTGGTAAAGTTTGAGACGAACAGGCCCAGCTGCCTAGAGGATAGAAAGCTTGCTCCAGCTGGCATTTATAGCAGCCCTTCCACTGGCGTGGGGGCAGCAAAGGGACAGACTCACATGGGGCTGGGCCATTTCTGACCCACTTCTTTGTCAGTCCAGATTAGTTTGGGCAGCCACGTGCAGAATGGAGACTGCTGGGGCATGGTGCCCTCCTAGTTTGAGGAATACTTGGTAAGCTGGCCCTCGAGCTGGGATGTGAGAACCTCAGAGCTGTTAAGTTCAAGCCTGCCTTGCAACTCAGCCCCAGGAACAAGCTGGGCAGATGGAAGCAGTTTCCCACAGGCTTCTAAATCAAGGCGTGAGGCAAAGACCTTGCGGCCTTTTCCTGGCCCCATGCAGCAGCTACAAAAAACTATTCTGGGGATCTGCTTTCTTCCTTTCAAAGTGTTTGAAGTTACCTGGCCTGGCTGCTTCAGGTCCTCTTAACTAGGAAACAGCAGTTCCTCTTTCAGAAAATTTCTTAAAAAGCCCGAGAGATTACATCATCTCATCTCCTTTGTCCTTGCCCCCCGCCCCTGACCCAACCATCTATGACACATTTACCAGACCATGACCCAGCATCTTCTGTAATACATTCAAGGGGACAGGCAGTACCCCCCGCCCCACACACATCTAAAGAAGCCCATTCATCATGAAGCAGGGCTTGAAAGGCAGGGTGGTAGAATGGAAAGAGTATAAACCCAGAATTCAGGACTGTGTGGCTCAGGAGCAACTTAACCTGGCTGAGCCTTTGAATTCTGAGTCTTAAAAAAATGACATAATAACTGCCTCACAGATTTGTTATAAAGGAGGGATGAGACATGTCCATGGGAGTACAGAATAGTTGCTCAACAAATCCTAGTCCCCTTTCCCCCTATTGGACCTTCCAGTGGCATCTACCAACTGGTACTCATCCAAATGCCATGGTATGCACCAAATGGTGTCATCTCCATTTCTAGATAAGAATGAGGCTCAGAGAGGAGACATGAAGTCAAAAGAAAGGACAGTTTCTCAAACTTGATCAACCAACCCCTTCTCTAACCTTTGGCATTAGCTGGGGTTAGTGGCTAGCTGCACTTTACAAGAGTCCTCTCGCCTTTAGCTTTCAGAGCCCTACTCAGAGCCACCCCAGTTGCTGGTGGGAGGCCTTGATTCAGGGTTGATTCCTATTAAACAACCATCTTGGTACATTCTCCTGTCTACCTGTCCTCCTGAGCAAGTAAGAGGTTGTGCCCTGGGCTGTTTAGACTGGAAATTGGGGAACAAGTGTCTTGAAGGAGGAAACTGAACAAGGGAGTACATGGGGGGTTAGGGGTGGTGGCCAGGGAAGGATGTGAAGGGTCAGCAAAAGAGGAAGATGAGATGGGATAGGGGGATGAGAAGTCTTAGCCTCCTTTTCTTGGTGAGTGTGGTGAAGGATGGTGGGGTTTGTCCTAATGCCAGAATAGGTGTTTGGGCCTCAAGATGGGCACTGGCTGGCTCTTTTCTCCCATTAAATCAAAGCAAGAGGCTTCCTTTCTTTTCTATCTCCCAAACCTAGCACATATGGACAGGCCTCACGCCCAGACTTAAATCAAACCATTTCAAGATCCTCCTTCTGGAACCACCCATTTTTATGGTTGGTGAGACACTTGGAAAAGGATGTGTAATCAGGTTCTTTGGCTCTCCTCATCTCTCCACCTGCCTGTGCTCACACTCCACCCCCAGCCCGCCCACCTACCCTCCCCCACTCTGCTTATTTCAGTTCTGGCATCCTCTGATGCCAGCACCAAGATCCAGAAGGCCCCAGAGCTCTGAGTTCTGGGCCTAGCTGAGCCACCAGCCCTCCAGGCATTCCCCATGGCTGGTCTTCCCTGGGCCTCTGTGTTCCCACTGCCAAATGGCACAACAGTTCTATGCCTGGGAAGAACTGGGTTACAGTCACAACAAAGACTGGAATGAGAGCTTTCCCAGAGTGCAACACAATTTTTGCAAATGTCCAGCTCAGGTCAGTCCCGATGCATCAGGACAGTCGGGCTGTCAGTGGAAGGAGCTGTCTTGTTTCGACCCTGGAAGGTCAAGTCAATGTGTTTGGGAACATGGCCAACTAAGGAAGAGCACTGGACTGTGGTACATAGACTGGGTACAGACTAGAGACAGCTACCTAGGAACAGCAAGACACCGGGAATGTCATTTGGTCCCAGTTAAGTCTCAGTTTCCTCATCTGAGAAATGAACCTAACAACACCAGACACACACATTCGTGTGCACACTACCAATTGTAGAAATCAAAATGGTCACAGTCAAAGGCCAAGGTGAGAGGAGAATGGAAGGAAATGAAGGCCAGGTAGAATAGACCTGCCAAGGGGAGTCTCCTAGGGCCAGGTATCACAGAATGTTCCTTGAGGCATACTATTCAAAATGTAGTCCTCGCTGTGGTGCCCAGCTAAGCACCAGTGTGCAAATTCACATGTTGGCTTCAGCAGGTGACAGAGCCTTTCAGAGGGCCAGATATCACATCAGGTCCAAGTTCTGTGCATGGACATGGAGCCATTAAGCCCTTGCTCTGAGTCTCCTACAAACTACAGAAAAGCTTGGTGGGGTCAAACTTAGTGGGTGGGAGGTTAGAGCTTAGCCTGCTGCTGAACACAGTCTGAAGTCAAGTTTAGTCTTGCTGGGTTTATTTAGGAAGATCTCTGGAGGCATGTGTGAGCAGGACTGCGGTCTAGGTCACAGAAGGACTTAGCATGAGCTATGGGAGGGGTGTGCCTAGCCTGAGCAGAGCAGGGGTGTAATAGGTGAGGAAGGTGGGCTGTCAGATGAAATACAGCATGCCCAATTCATCTGAATTTCAGATAGATTACTATTCATTCTCTTAGTATGTCTCATGCAATATTGGGACATAATTATACTAAAAAAACCCTGATTATGGGGCAGTTTGATCTGAGTATTCTATGTTTTTATTTGCAAGGCTTAGGGTTGGGCTAGGAGGCCTTGTTTGTTGAACCTGCCTGCTAAGGCCCACTCACCGGAGAAGAACTGGCTGATTGACGTGGGCAGGAGCGTGAGGAAGGCCAAAGGGTGAGCGAAAGAAATAGAAAGGACAGCTGAGATGTAGGCCACGCCGGCCACCATGGAGTAGAGGCAGGCCAGCGAGGTATAGAGGCAGAACAGGACGAAGTTGCGCATGTTCCTGCTGCCGATGCAGTTACCAGTGAAGAAACAGTGATGGTCGTGCCTCAGTGTGACTCGAGCGCACACTCGGCAGAAGTGGGTGCTGGGTGGCGGGCACTGAGCTCTTCGGGATGTGGTCCCCTGGGAGGCACCCAGGTCATCCGGAGAGTTCTGGATGACCAGGATGTAATTGCCCAGGGCATTGGCTGAGAGAAACAGGAAGAGGGCCCCGTGAAGCAGGGCAGGAGAGAAGAGCTGAGTGGCAGCCGTGTCCTCACGCATGCTGGGCAGGAAGAGGAAGAGCTGGAGCACGAAGGTCACCAGGGAAATGCACAGGAAGTAGGCGGGGGCCACCACGTTGAGCAGCCGCAGGGCCAGCATCCTGGATTACATTCCTACAAGGAGAGAGGAAGCCTTACTGTGTTGTCTAGGGGGCATCCTGATACTCTTCTCCTGGGTAGTGGGAACAGAGGGCTGTGTGCAATCTATACCCCCAAACCTGCACCTTGGATTACTCTTCCCCCTTTCCCTAATTTAGGACCAAGCAGGTGAGAGACCCAGAGACCACAGTGGCCTGCCCATGGCTAGGCATGCCTTGGCTATGTGGTGCCCTGGAACCATCTGGTCAAGCACATGGAGGGAGAGGCTAGTTCACAGCCTACAGTGCTTGTATCTACAGTGAGGGGCCAGGTTTGGTGGGGGGTGGGGGCGGTGGCAGCTGAGGGATAGAGCTGTGCCCTTCATAATAGTGGACACAATTCACTTTTGGGATCTCTGGTTCAGACCACCCTAGGAGAAAGTGAAGGAGAGGGGTGGGGCAAGAGAACCAATTGACTACTGGAAGTCCTGATTCCCCCCTTCTCCTACCTCCATCTTGGGCAATATTCTATGACCTCACCAGTTACCCTGGGGCTGTCTGGGGATAGCTATACTGTGGACCATGATGTGGGTTTCCTTGTGTGAGACTACATGTTATCTGTGTTTGGGTATGTGTGTGTATAGCAAATCTTTTTGTTTATAAACCAATTAAAACAGTTGATACATTCACAGATGCTCATGTGGGGGTGTAGCTGGTATACCTGTACTAGTACTAGTCGGTCTTAATAAGCCTATTTTTCAGACGCTGGCTGCCCTGGCTATTTCTTTGTGAAGCTTTTTCCTTTGAGGCAACTAAATTAAAATCCTCCATTCACACCCGCCTTCCACTTTCCTGGCGGGAGAAAACCAAACAATCCCCAAGGCGCGGAAACCCTTTGGATTCCCAGAAGCCGGTTCTGGGTGGATGAGTGCATGTCTGGGAGCCTTTCCTAGGATTGACACCCCCACACGCCCTGAGCGCCGGTGGCATCCTCGCCCCACACCACCTCCTGCTTAGGTTCCTGCCCAACTTCACAAGCCTCCGGGATATTAGATCTGTGCGCCCGGGAGAACTTTCTAGTGGTCTAAGAAATAGGCCAGAAGGAGACACAAGAAAAGTTCTGGGAAGGCAGCTGCACCTAGGATGGATGGATTGCACCAGGCGTAGGTCCAAGCTGTCCTGATGAGACTGAGAGACTGGTCACCTTGGAATCCTCTTTGCAAATGACCGCGCCTCCCGGAGACTTGCGGCCTCGATGGGGAGCTCAGGCCTCTCTGTGCTGCTGGGGTGCAGCGGGGACACGCCTGGGGATGGTCTCTGGGGGCTCGGCACCACAGTCAGCCAAGTGCCCCCAGAGGCCGCGGGGCGCTGCCCACCCCAGAGAGCCCTAGGTCCGGGGCTCTAGCTTGGGAAGCAAGTGTCTTCCCTTCGCCAGTCGCCAGGGGAGCGCAGGAGCAGCCTCCAGATGCGCCGCGGCTCAGGGAAGGCGAAGGACAGGGGCTAGGGAAGTGAGGGGCGCGGGGCTGGCGGCCACAGCTGGGGCTCTGCGCCCGGGAGCCTCCCGCAGAGAGTGCCGGGAGGCGGTGGCGAACGCGGGGAGCTGTCCGATCAGCACCGCTGGCCGCCTCGCCTGGCTCAGAGCGCGGTACAGCGGAGACCTGCCGAGCCAGGCAGGGCGGGCAGCCACTGGCTTCTCCGCCTCTGCCTCCCGGACGCCCGGAAAGCCCCCGCGAGCAGCCACCGCGGCCGCAGCGCCGCAGAGGGGTGGGGAAACGAACTCACCGAGCTGGGATCGCGGACAAGAGGAGCCCCGGACGCCGGCTCTCGTCTTCTCTGAGGCTGCAAAGTTGTGGGCTCGGCCGGGTTGGCTCTCAGCCTCACGCTTCGCTTCGGGGGACTGGGCAGGTAGCGGGGGTGTGGGGAGGAGGGAGCGGGCAGCTGCCGCCTTCCCACTTGGGCGCCAGGGAGTGGGGGCCAGGAGGCGGCGGGGATGGCAGCTGGGCACCCCCCGGCTCCGCCACCCCTCCCTCCGCTCCTGGGGGCGGTGCTCTGGCCACCGGCTCAGCACTGTGGACTTGCCCCCCACACCCCCGCCCTCCTCCGCTCCCCTTGTGCAGGTTGGGGCACTCTGCCTGACTTCAACACTGGTTCCAACTGGGAGATGGGGATTCAGCCCTGATGTGGACGCTCCCGCCATCACTCCGCCCTCCCCTCCTCCCTTCTTCCTGGCTCTGACCCTCCCTGCTGTTGGCTAGGACTAAAGAAACCTGGGGGGGTGGGGGCGGTGAGAGCTCAGCTTACTAGGGCAACACCCATAAAGATCAGCGTCATCTCAGAAGGGCTATGGACTGAGGGGTGAGAGCCAGTCTGCCTGGATGTGGATACCGTTCACTATTTACTGGGTGATCCTATATTCCAGTGTTCTCTGGAGAAGGGAGGATTGAATGACAGTAGCTGTAGAGCCCTTATGAGAGCCTGCCTGGGGTGAGCACTGTCCGTGGCTTAGATCATCATTTTTAACTCTACAGATTGGGCCCTTCCTAAGAACCAGGCACTGTGCTAAGCCCAAGGCAGATAACTGTGTTAATCCTCCAGTATGATCTGAGAAGCCAAATGAGTCCCATTCTAGGGACAAGAAGGTTGAGACTCAGAGATGCTAAGTCACATGTCCAAGGTCATCCAGCAGGTGAGTGGAGGGGCCTGGATTTGAACCAGGTTCTGGCACAGACGCTCCTGTTCTCAGCCTCTACAGCCTCTGAAATCTGGGGGTAGCTTTAGTTTGGGGGAAGGGGAGGATAACTGGTTTATAGAGATGCAGAGCTGGAACCTGAAACTTATTCCTGAGCCTATCTCCTAGCCCTGACCTAAGTCCACTATTCTCAGATGGGTGCCACAAGATACCAAGAGGGTGGTGACACTAGTGTACGGCAAATGTGTGTTTGGGGGTGGGGGCAGGAGAGTCTTAGACCATGAAACATTGCAAGGACATTGGTGCCTTTGCTAGACTCAGTTTCTCAGGCTGTCGTTCCCCCCGCTCCCATCTCTGCTTGCTCCATTCCTGTGGGTCCAGGCAAACATGATAAATTCTTTCTTAACCAGTTGATTCAAACGAGCAATCCCTTGAAGTGAGGGCCATATGCTGATCGGCTCAGCCTCTATTTTTGAATCATCAGACACTGTTTTCTCTGTATTTTATCAGCATACATAAAAATAAAAAAGGGATCAGGGAACCTTTTCATGCTTTAAAAGGATCTTACATAGGAGAGGGAAAACAGCATGCCATGTGGTAGCCTCTGAGAATCCAGTAGTCCTGTGAGTTCCAGTGGCCCCAGGACAGACACAAAGAGGCACAAGTGGTCTTTTTCCCTCCAGAGCAGCTTTGAGTCATGAGCTGCCTGCCCCCTGCACAAGCTCTGCCTGCCTCTCACACAGGTTTTCCTTTGGGCCATATTGATTGAAGATCTCCATTCCTTAAATACCTTGAGAGTTGGGCGTATTTCTAATTTTATTTTGCATATGGGTGTGAGGTGGGAAGGTTGTGTGTGTGTGTGTGTGTGTGTGTGTGTGTGTGTCTGAATTCATGTGTGAGAAGGAAAGAAAGAGAGGAGCTAAGTGAACGTGGGAAGATGTCAATGGGGGAAGGGAATAGTCAGCCAGGAGGGAGAAGGAGACTGGGGCTGTGCAAACAGGAATGGACAGGATAATTATTTATTAAGAAACCAAATATATCAACAGAAAAGGACATTAGAGCTGGATCTAAACCTAGTGATTCCTTGCTTCCCCTCAAGGAATAGAGGGAAAGAAAGAAAAGTGCTTTGTTTTTCTAAAATTGGTGCTTGCCCCTGACCAAACCAATAGAGTGGTCAACTTGAAACTTCACTTTGATTCTGGCCCTGAATAAAGCAGACTAAGAATGAGCATTTGACTTCACCACCAACTTGCCAGCTGTGTGAACTTGAGCAAGTCGTTTAAATTCTCTGTTCTCTGCCTTCTCATCCATGAAATGGGCACAATGCCGATGTTTGTGATGACGGAACAGGATTCGATATAGAAGTACCTCAATCCAGACAGATGCAGCTTCTATCTCCCCTCTCCTCTCTCTCTGGGCTCTTATCTCTCTCTCTCATCTTCTCCTCTGATTTGCCCAGAGTAAGAGTCCTGGCTGATGGATCCATACTGGTCTCTCTGGAAGGAAAAGTCTGTGTTTTGAGGTCTTCAAAATGTTTTGTGAGGATACATTTACATTGATCTTCCATCCTGTCAACCACCCACCCTAGCAATAGTCTTTTTCTCTAAAAATGGTGTCAGAAAGTAGTTAGGAAACCACATTCTTCAGTGCCCATGTCATCTGTCCTCATGGTTAAACTGTGATGGCACCTGCAGGCAGTCCCAAGGGGCAGGGACACAGACAAGCATCTGATTGCTGCTGAGCACTTTCCTGGAGATATGTGCTATAAATCTTTCAGTTTAGTGGTGTTATTTGAATAATATAAATTCCTTTCCAAGGGGCAGTCATTCCATTTTTCCATAAAATACAGTATCCAGAGGAAGAAAGTCTGTGAAGCAAGCTGCTGCTTCTCCCTCAGATGAAGGACACCCTCCAGTCTATTAGACTCCCCAAACATTTAGATAGACCATTCCTAGATGCAAGGAGCCGCAGTGAGGAAGGCTGAGGTTTCATTCTTTTGATTTCAAAGCAGGTAGAGCAAGGAAACTCGAGACTGGGACCTCAAGGTTAACGAGTGCTCTGAAATTAAAACTGTAATGGGCATCCTCAGATGGGATGCTTTGTACTGCCAACAGCAAATCATAGCCATGGGTGCCCACAAATGCTTCATGAGATGCCATCCTTGCAAGCCTAGCTCTAGGAACCATCTAAGTGTCATCTTCATCTCAATCCACTGCACACGCCAACATTGGATTATCACAGAATTTCTACTTGGAGGTGCTAATTTAATTTATACACACTGCCTTTATTTTAACAGCAGCTGCCTTACTTTGATGTAATAAAGTAGTAGAACTGCCACAGAATTAAAATTGAGTTCCACGGGCCTCTCAATACTCCTGGAAGCTGGCTGGGGCAGGCAGTGTTAAACCCATTTTTCTTCTGAGGAAACTGAGGTTCAGCAATTTGCTAAAGGCTAATTTGCAAAATGTGTCTGTGTCAGATTTAAAATGTAATTTGAGAGCTGGGCATGGTGGCATATGCCTTTAATCCCAGCACTTGGGAGGCAGAGGCGGGAAGATCTCTGTGAGTTTGGGCCCAGCTGGTCTGTCTACATAGTGAGTTCCAGGCCAGCTGGGGCTACTGGGAGGCCCTGTCTCAAAAAAAGACAAAAAATTAATGTACTTTGAAAGCTGAGCATGGTGGTACATTCCTGTAATCTCAGGACTTGGGAGGTAGAATCAGGGGGATCTGGAGTTCAAGGCCATTCTTAGCTACATACTGATTTCAAGACCAGCCTGGACTACATGAAACCCCTAAACTAAGCAAACAAAATCCCCCAAATATGATTTGATATGCAAAGGTCTCACTGATACTTAACTTCTGGATCATGACATTTGCATAAAGAAGGGTGGGTCATACACCTTCCAGAATAAAAGACCTACCACATCTCCCCTTATCTAAAACTGTACTGCTCTTCATCCTGTGTCCTACCTACTCTGTATTATGTGTCCCCAAAAGCACTTATCACCACCTGACAGTATGTGTCATCTGTTTACTGTTTTGTCCCTTCTCACTAGAATACCAACTGTCCAAGAGCAGTATGTGGACTGTTTCATCTTGTATCTACGGCATCCTGTATCAACAGTGTTGAATGCGTGGTAGCTGCTCAGTACACTGGCCAAGTGAGTGGATACTGGGCACACGGAAATACACTTATCAGATTCCCTCAAGTATTCTGTACTTTGTGGTATTACAGAGAGTAGATGTGAAAGGACAGGGACACTTAGCATCCAGGCCCAAATGTCAAGGTAGAAGCAGAAAGTCTGAGTGACAGGTAACCCCAGAACTCTCCCTGATGGGATGCCTCAGGGTGGAAATCTGGGCTCAGCTTGGGAAAGCTCCCTTTGCTGTGCTCAGGCTGCAGAAGGATGGGTGCAATCTTTTCCCAATTAGCCACACTTTCCTGGGACCACTTAGGCAGCCCTGGTAGAGATGCCATGGACCAGCAAGCAGCTCAGCTCTGAGATGGGGATAGCAGCAAGATTAATTGGCCCTTTCATCTTAGAGCATGCAGAAGGCGGAGAATATAGGGAGGGAGAAGAAGAATGTAGAGGGCAGAGCAGCGAGGAGGGACAGGAGAGGGGAGGAGAGGGGGTGGTGAGAGAGCACTTGTTTGGCACCCCATGGTCTATATCTTCATGATGGATGACACTCTGAAGACACAGGAGGAATCCGCTATCTCAGCTGAGAGCCCTCCCATGCCAGGCATCCAGGATGGGAGGGAATGAGGCAGAAGGCTGACACCGCAATCAGGAGGAGATGGGGAACAGCAGTAGAGCCTCTTGGACGTTCTTGGATCACAGAGCAGCAAGGCAGCATGCATCCCTCTGATCCCTCTGCTTCTCTGTCTTGTCCCAGCAGGAGGCCAGGGCCCAGGAGAAAGGCGGTGGGGGGAGCATAAGCTTTCGGTGCCCACTGTCCCAAACTTGAATTTCTTCATTCTTATTCTCTTGCTGTGCAAACTCCAGCAAGTTCTCCAGTCTCTCTGAGCCTCAAATTCCCTTTCAATGCAAAGTAAATTCATTGTAAGTTTTATTTATTTTTATTTTTTAAAGAGTTGTTTACTTTTGTTTTATGAGTATTTTGCCTGCATCTATGTGTCTGAACCACATGGGTGCCTGGTGCCTTTAGAGGCCAGAAGATGGTGTTGGATCCTCTGGAACTAGAGATACAGGTGTTTAGGAGTCACCATGTGGGTGCTGTGAACCAAACCTGGGTCTTCTCCAAGAGTAGCAAGTTGCTAGGCATAGTGGTGCACGCCTTTAAACCCAGCACTTGGAAGGCAGAGGCAGGCAGGTCTCTATGAGATTGAGGCCAGCCTAGTACAGAGCCAGCTGG